CTGAGCCATATTGCAATATTCAATTTTATTTCACTTAACTGTGCAGCCCTAGTTGATACAAATCTAAAATTCTTCTAAAGTTGTATGACAGTGACTTTATCATTCAGCATTCACATCAAACCTGACATGATGCATCTTTATGGAAAAAAGTTTAGAATAAAATGGCTAGTGTTAAATGTTTATTTTTGGTAAACTATGCCTTTAAATGGATTTATTAAATCTCTAATTTCTTTTGTCTCTTCATCAATTCACATTTACATTTTAAATGAAGCCTTCACACTTTGTTTTCTAGTCTTCAGATTACATTAGTCGGCTCCTGCCCCAAAAGCTCCTTCCAGGAAAAGCTTGGAGCTCTTGCTTTCACCCAGCCCTCATTAGACTAAGTGGGCAAGCTGTTGTGTTAAAGTGGAGGATTTTTAGAGATTGTGCTTGTAAGTGTTAAGTGCACGGTTCCTCTCGGCCAGATATTTGCATAGTGTGCGCTCTGATCCTTCTACTGAAAAGGACCGGCTCATGTCGCAGACGGAGAGCCAACCGGACGAACTAGCATCTGTGTGTTTTTGTTGTGTGTGATCATTGCATTGTACTCGGTTATTGATCAGGGCCATATGTGTGTCCAAAGCCATGTGTGTTGATGTCTCAGCTGATTTCTAAGGAAGCTGGAATTTAATTCGCCACCAAAACATGGCTAGTCGCACCTCAAAAGCCAAGAGGGAATCTCTTGTTACCTGTAAAGATCCTTTATCAAAGAGAAAGATGCACAGTCGTTGCCTGAGGATAAAGCCACATTCATCTGAAACGGCACAGGTGATTGGATGACCTTATAAAGAGCTTTGTGTGGCGACATCAACGGCACTCTTAGTGCTTGTAGAACAGCTTTTTTTCAACAACAGGGGCTTGACCTACAAGTTGAAGTTTCCGCATACTCCAATTTTTTTTTTAAATAATGGATTGAGCTCAGTGCTCTAGTAAAAAAGGATGGAATGAATTGCTGAAATGTACCCATCGTCCCCATGCAATGAGTCCCACCCTCTTCTCTTTCTTCCTGTCTATAGCTGACCAGCTCTCCCTGTGGTAGGCATGAGGCTGGGCCAGATGGTGTTCACAGATGGTTATTGTGGTCTTAAAGTGGGATTACCTCCCTCTGCTCGCAGTCCGCTGCTCCTTAAGACAGCAGCCCGGGACAGAGCCACCCAATTATCACCTACACTACAACCCCTGCTGATCAGACCGGACCCCTTAATGCACCATTACAAAGTGAATGGCTTTTAGCCTAGCAGGAGGCTTGCAGCCAGGTTAACCAAATCTAACGTAGATTGAAGACAAGCCAAGTTTAACAGTATAAACTAAACTTAGCAATGATTGGAGTCTTTATACACACAGGAGTAATAATAAGTATCTGTAGAGTCATCATCAATGGCTATGTCATGAATATTTCCACAGTATCTGTGGTAAAATTTGTTAGCGCATAGTGTCTACTTTGTAGAGTATATTTGTTTGGCTCAGAGTTTCTCTACTTCTTTAATTGGTTTAGCATGTCCTCTGCTTTCTGCTGGTTGCTCTGTGGCACAGGACTGTGACCGTGAGAATGACCCGGTCACATATAATGATATAATAAAATATTATATATATGAATAATGAGAATGAATGAAATATTATATATATATATACACACACACACACACACACACACAGGTACACTACTATTCAGACGTTTGGGGTCAGTAAGATTTTATTTAAAAGAAATTAGTACTTTTAATCATCAAGGATGCCTTTAAATGGATCAAAAATGACAAAGACATTTCAAATTCAAATAAATGCTGTTCATTTGAGCTTCTATCTTTATCTTTTAAAAATAATTAATATTATATTTTCGACAAAAATATTGGGCAGCACAACTGTTTTGAACATTGATAATAATAAGAAATGTTTTTTGAGCACCGAATCAGCATATTCAAATGATTTCTGAATGATCATGTGACACTGAAGACTGGAGTAATGGCTGCTGAAAATTCCGCTTTGCAATCATAGGAAAAAATTATATTTTAAACTATAATAAAATATATAAAAATGTTATTTTAAATTGTAATATTTCAAAATATTACTGTTTTTAATGTATTTTTATTAAATAAATGCAGCCTTAGTGACCATGAGACTTTCAGAAACATTAAAAAAAATCTTACCAACACCAAACTTTTGAAAGGTGATGTATTATATATGTATTTATTTTGTAGATAATGTATATGTATAATAAAATGATTAAATTCAGTAAATTTTTAATCAAATCTTGTTGCGTTTAAAAAATCGTTTTGACTTGTTTTTGGAGATAAAAATTGTGGTTGATTTTATTATGGTTAATTATATGACACCCAAAACAGGAGTGCTGTATATGATAAACATTGTAGTATTGACGATATCGCTTCATTATTCGGTGTGGATGAGGTCAAACCATTATGAAAAGAGTTCCACCACCCACTTTGTTCCTCACACAATCTCAGACAGACCTCTTTGTGGTGAAGCCCTCATTCATAGTTCATTTTGGCCCTCTGTTCAGCTGCTTGACAGCGGGGGTGGCTGCCTGCCTCTCACCTCACACGCACACATATATATCTTAATATCTTGCATGTTGCTGACAATTAATAATCAACACTTCGGCAAAAAATCTCTGTGCTTTCCACTAATCTCCTCACTTAATGTACTAGCATTCTGCCATATCTGTAAGATCACTCACACACACACACACACACACACTTGTATGAGCTTGTAATGTCTTATTTGAGATGTTGGCTGTAAAGTGCAACAAAAACGTCAGTAGTGCTGAGTTTTAGGGTTTATGAGCTGTTATGATTAATGATGTGCTGACGCTGGTAACCTCCCGGCTGTTTAAATGAGATAGCATGCGCGTGTCCTTCAAAGTTTTGCTTATCTCTTTTACGACATCCATCACTGTACTTGTGCCAGCCACAGGACAGTTGTGTGATTTATTGATATAGATGAACTTAGATGTCTTGAACAGATAGTGTATGAAACATCTCGGACAATTAAGAAATCGGGCACAGATTGTGCTGTTATTTGAGTAAGTGTAATATGGCAATGAAGTATTAGCTGTTTGGCTCAGTCTGATGACACGTGTACATGACCTTTGACCCTCATTAGGACACCACAAGCCCTTGGTCAGTCCACCTGCACACCACTGTACCACTGTGGTATAAAATATACACCTTTTATTTAACTATATATATATATATATATATATATATAACATAAATAATAATACAAATAAATCAATAATACAGTAAGTATATATTTATTTATATTACTTAATTTAATATATATACACACACTGTGGCAATGAATGATTACTATATTCATTTAGCATGACATTATATAAAACTTTGACTTTTTTTTTTGTAATGGTTCTTTTTGGTTTAGAAAATGAATGTTTATGATTGTGTTTTATGTATAATCAGGGATATTAAGCCAGACAATATCCTGATGGACATGAACGGTCACATCAGGCTGGCTGACTTTGGCTCCTGCCTCAAGCTCATGGAAGATGGGACCGTGAGTTTGATCCTCAATCCTGAATTGTCAAGCACATGATTTCTTGCTCAGTAAGTCTTGTGTTATAACTTCCTGTCTTCTTGTTCCTGTTTTCTCTCAGGTCCAGTCCTCTGTGGCAGTTGGGACCCCGGACTACATCTCTCCAGAGATCTTGCAGGCTATGGAAGACGGGAAGGGAAAGTACGGGCCGGAGTGTGACTGGTGGTCTCTGGGTGTGTGCATGTACGAGATGCTGTATGGAGAGACACCCTTTTATGCTGAATCCCTGGTGGAAACCTATGGAAAGATCATGAACCATAAGGTTAGTTTGCATCGTAGACCAAAATGTGATTCTGTGCAACAAGAATTTGACAGTGTTGTTATTTCCAATGTGTATTTAAAGGTGATATGTGTAATTTGTCAATGTTAAAATACTGTACATTCTTCCTTTAGAGACAACTGTAAGCAAGCCATTTATTGGTTGATTCCCCTGAATAGTGTAAAATCACTGTGCTGTCAAAGCATTATCTTGTTCAGGAAAACAAGTGTTATTTATGCTGTTCCATTTTGTGATGCTAGTGATGCAGAAATCACCTTCTTCTGAAATCTGTTTGCAGTAGAGTAGCTTAATTTCTAGGTAACCCTTTCCTTTTTTAGTTCACCAGGATAATTTGTTTGTGTCTCTTGCTTGGTATAAAACAAATAGTCATGAGCGGATTTTCTTTTTGTCTTTTCTTCACTATTTTATTCTGGATTAGTCATCTCAACCTAACAATGAGGTAAAAATTCACCTATTCATCAAGGTTCATTTAGTTTTGTGTGGGACTTAACTAATGGAGCACATCTTAGACCACCGTAACTAGCGTAGATAGGCAGAGATATTTGAGAGAGTCTCAATGCGCAACACTCAAGTATATTTTAACTCATTCATTCTCAGGAGCGCTTCCAGTTCCCACTTCAGGTGACAGATGTGTCTGAGGAGGCTAAAGATCTCATACGGCGGCTGATCTGCAGCAGAGAACACCGGTTAGGCCAGAATGGCATCGACGACTTCAAACAGCACCCCTTTTTCACAGGCATTGACTGGGACAACATTCGCACATGTGAAGCCCCCTACATCCCCGAAGTCAGCAGCCCCACTGACACCTCCAACTTTGACGTGGATGATGATTGCCTCAAAAACTGTGTATGCATCTAATTTCTTTCTAATTTTTATCTTGGAGCTGATGTATTTATTCCACATAAATGCCGTAATGTGTGGTTGCAGAGGCACATTTTCTCTTAAATTTGCCACTATACAGAACTGGATAATTTCAATGAATATTTGAGGTTTTCTGAAATATTTTAGGAGACGTTGCCCCCACCTTCACACACAGCGTTTTCTGGACACCACCTCCCATTTGTAGGCTTTACCTACACAAGCAAATGGTGAGTCAGATGTTTATTCATCATGCCTTTTTTAAATATGTAAAAAAAGTATGACAGTAAAGACTTTTACTTTGTTACAAAAGATTTCTATTTCAAATAAATGCTGTTCTTTTGAACGTTCTATTCATCAAAGATTCCTTAAAAATCCATCACAGTTTACAGAAAAATACTGAGTAGCACAACTATTTTTAACGTAGATAATAATAAATGTTTCTTGAGCACCAAATCAGCATATGAGAATGATTTCTGAAGGATCATATGACTGGAGTAATGGCTGCTGAAAATACAGCTTTGCCATCACAGGAATAAATTATATTTTAAAGTATATTAAAATAGAGAACAATTATTTTAAAGTGTAATAATATTTCACAATATTACTGTTTTTGATTAAATAATTGTAACCTTGTTGAGCATAAGATACTTCGTTCAAAAATATAAAAAATCTTAACAACCCAAACTTTTGAACAGTAGTGTAGATTGTAGTGTGCTTTAACAATTTGATTAATTCTGCGTATCACAAAATTTGAACTGCAGTTTCTTGTGTGATTTGGTTCTGTAGCACTCTGTCAGATCGAGGGTGTCTGCGGGAGTCCATGGGACCGCCACAGGTAGATGCTGATCTTCAGCGTAGCCTGGAAGAGAGCCTGGCCTCAGAGGCCTATGAGAGAAGGATCCGACGTCTAGAACAGGAGAAGACCGAACTTACCCGTAAACTACAGGGTGAGGGCACTAACACATCCACACTAAATCATATTTTATCTTTCTGTCTCTCTGAAATATCCTTTTTCCCTTAGAGTCCACGCAAACAGTGCAGGCACTGCAGTACCCTGATTCGGACGCCCCAGTGAATGCTAATAAGGAGGTAGAGATCCGGAGTTTAAAATGTGAGATCGACATCCTGAAGAAACAGATAGCAGGTGAGAGCTTGATATTGGGTTGGAATGCACTCAGTCAAGGGCACAGTCCTGGTCTTGGGTCTTTATTGTACTTTATTGATTACTCATTAAGTGTAGTGACATCTCTAGACAAAGACTCTATACATTTTCGTCATGTCAGACTCTGGTCAACTGGAACAGCAATTGGAGGAGGCCAGCACAGTTCGAAGAGACCTGGAAGACACATCTAAGATCAACAGGAGCTTCGAGAAACAGCTGAAGAGTGTCATGCAAGAGAGAGATGATCTGCACAAGGTACCTATTCCGTTGTATTTTAAGAAATAGGTAAAAGATCATTCTTTTAGCTAGTTTTCTACACCAGTCTAGGATGCTGAAGCTAGTCAGCTAGGTCAAGATGTTTGGAGTATGGTTAACTAGCTCAACCACGCCCCCACCAGGTGAGCCAAGGTGGTTTACTAACTCCAATCATGTTGGCCTTCAATCCAAAAATTAGGCTTCTAACGTGCAGCTCTAACTAGTCTAAGATTTGCTGGTCTTAGTTGGTTTGAACTGGTCTCCCAGCCTGGCCAAGCTGATGTTTAGCTTGTTGATCAGCTGAAATATGACCATTCCCTCTAAAACCATCAAAATAGACAGATTGGCTAGACTGAGAGAGACCAGCTAGCCACTTTAAACTGGTATATGCTGTGTTTTTTCAAGATAATTGCCATAAATGACCAACTAGTTTCTCCGTTTGTGACTGCTGGCGTAATGGTCCAAGTGACCTGAGCTGACTTTAATCTTTAACCGTGCCGTTTAACAGATTACTCTTTAGCTCAATGACTAGTTTATAGTTGATCATAGACAAGGATAAAGGCTGGAATACACTGCATGACTTTTAAAATCTGAACATAATTTAAAGCACAATGGATCATACACCTCCTGACTTTGTAAATTGTTACAGAGAAAAATTGGGCATCATGTATTAAACTACTGAGGATCACACACTACCAGACTTTCAAGAACATAACAAATAATGCAGAAACGTGTCACATGGGTAGGAAGACACATGACAAATGAAAACAGTATGTGTTCTAAAATCGGCTCAAAATATCAAATATGTTTGATATTTTCCGACTGGATGGAATCATAGTCTGAAGCTGTCCATCATACACAATGTGATTTTATATGAAATCTGTCAACTCTGACTGCCCAAAATCTGCAGATTGACTCTGACTTTCAGCAGCGAGCATAGACCCATCCAGTATGCAAACTGGGGCAAAAATCTGGGCAAAAGTTGTGTAGTGTATTCCAGCCTTAAGTTATGCTAACTTTGATTCTGTAATGAATATGTGAAGGAGCTGCTGGAGTTGGCAGAGAAGGTGAAGGCTCAGGGGAAGGAGCTAAAGGAGGCTCACAGTCAAAAGAAGATGGCCATGAAGGAGTTCTCTGAGCTGAACGAGCAGCTGAGCGATCTGCGCTCACAAAAGCAGCGGCTGAGCCGACAGTTCAGAGACAAAGAGGAGGAGATGGAAGGAGTGTCACAGAAACTAGAGGCTCTACGGCTAGAGATTCGCAAAGCAGAGAAAATGCGCAAAGAGGTATACACATTAACTTACTGAAACTTACTGGTGTTTGACTTTATATAAGCCAAGTCAGCATGGTTGTAATTTTGATCATCGGTGCTATCATATTTGTGGATTTGTTGGCTGTGTATTTGATGTTTGTTTTCATCTCAGTTGGAGGCCCAGGCTGAGGAGCAGGCAGCAGAAGCTCAGAAGGAGAGGAAGCTACGAGAGAGAACCGAACAGTACAGCAGACAGTTGGAGGAGGACCTGGAAGGGATGAAGGTGACAATGCATGAGTATATTAATATATGTTAATTGGCCATTTAGAAATGTTCAACTAATATATGCTGTATACTTTATATATAGTTACTTATGTAAAATGTATGTATGTTGTGTGTGTGTATATATATGTATATATAATACATGTATATACATATACATGAAAAACTCATTTAGATCTTGTTTGCTCCCATTTTCATTCTCATTCTCTAAGTCCTTTAACCAACTTTATACTCACTTATGTCTCAATCCTCCTGCAGCAGTTGAAACAGGCTGGGCTGCCTCACGCAGCGGCAAGCTCAGACCAACAGCAGGAGCTGATGCGCATACGAGCGGAGCTGGAGAAGAAGAACGTGCAGTACGAGGAGGAGTTGTGTCGCCGGGAGACACTCCACAGCAGCGAGCTGAAGGTCCTCAAGAAGGAGCTCCGCGATGCTGAGGGTCAACACCTCACACTCCAGAAAGAGATTCTCATGCTCAAAGACAAACTGGAGAAAACCCGCAGAGAAAGGTACATGTGTGATTATACGTGACCAGGTTTTTGTGCAGTTTCTTTACGTTGTCAGTGAAAGCGTCAGGTAATCTTAAAGCTGCCGGCACATTCAGCCTTTGCATATTTACAGCTTTTCTTGTCTGCCGCCCACTTAGACAGAAAGGGCCAATCTGATGCACCACAGTTTGTTTGTATGTGACGTTTAGAGGCATAAATCTGAAATGGAATATATTGAATATAATAACTATGGTCTGTGAACGGCCCATGGTCATAATGAGACCACCAGCTTGTTGGGCCACCAATGTGAACCTGTAGATCTGATTCTTTACATTGAATTTCCATGGTAGCAGAATGTAGCTGTACTGTAAACTTCATTATGTTCATTGTTGTGTTTGTAACAGCCAAACTGAGCGAGAGGAGTTTGAGACGGAGTACAAGCAGAAGTACGAGAGGGAGAGAGGCCATCTGACAGATGAAAACAAGAAGCTCGCAAGTGAAGTGGAGAAAGTGAGATCTCTATCGCTTTCAGAAACACGTGTGCCATTGCTCATGATATTCATTAGCCTGTGTCTCTTTCATCACAAAAAGTATACATCAAACCCCTGAAATTCCCTCTTCTTCTCTGGCAGTCTTTCCCCAAATCTGCTAACATTCCTAGAGAGACATCGTAACACACACACTTACCCAAAATTGCTTCTTGGCTCAGCCACTGTTTACTTTGGACTGCGGGGTAAAATCGGAATCAACCAGTCAAATAATTCTGCAAGTTTGGACATATCAGATATTAAAGGGCTCCTTATTTTTGGTGGCATGGATATGAAACATTATTAATTTCGTAAAAATACCTGGAAACCCAAAACACAAAGGCAGTTTAAAACAATAGCGCAGCTGGCCAGACCTGTCATGTCAAATGCCAGATTGTATGAGGCTTAGAAACATAAGCAAGAATGATGGCATTTGGAAGGAATTGAACCAGGATGTGAAATGCCTGAATGAATTCACATTCCTATCAAAGAGCGCTGCAGAGGTTTTGCATAGACTCGCCGTAACATATGCTTGCTTCCTGTCTTTCGTACAACGTTCACTTTCCTACTGAACAAAGAACCAATGAAAGCTAGTAAAGTTGATCTGGGATCAGTTTTTCTAATCTAATATTTATATTTTATTTGAGCTTTTTTCAATTAATGAAAATTATTTTTTGTTGTTTTTAGTTGTAGTTAACAATAACAACACTGGTAGCAACATTCTAAGAACCACCTTAACACCTTTTGTTCTTTACTCTTTGTGGTCTTTTTTGTCTTTTCAGCTGAGCTCTATGTATGACCAGCTCAACAGTAGTCACAGGCAGCTGGAGGAGGAGATGAGAGAGTTGGCTGATAAGAAGGAGAGCGTTGCCCATTGGGAGGCCCAGATCACTGAGATCATACAGTGGTGAGTGGAGCCCCCTACTTGCAGCCGTGTGACATCACACTTGCCAAGAAAGACACATGATAATGATGACCTTTACCCATGTCTGGATCCAGATGATGCAGATCATTTGGCCATTCATCACATTCATCGGTTTTAAAATAGAACAAACATTTACAGATGTTGTGCTTTATGTCAAGGTTAAGCTGAACTAAGCTAATCTGTGCAGGGTGAGCGATGAGAAAGATGCTCGTGGTTACCTCCAAGCTCTGGCCACAAAAATGACAGAGGAGCTTGAAGGGCTCAGGAACACCAGCTTGGGAGCCAGAGGAACGGTGAGACATGCACACAGCAGATAAGGATGAAACACATATTCTCATCTTCCTGAATGTCTGATGTGGTGGGTCGCTATCTCGTTTTGTTAGGACATGCCGTGGAAGATGAGGCGCTTTGCTAAGCTAGACATGTCTGCGCGTCTAGAACTGCAGTCTGCACTGGATGCCGAGATCAGAGCCAAACAGTCCATCCAGGACGAGCTTAACAAAGTCAAAGCATCCAACATTGCCACAGAATGGTAAGACCACACATATCAACATCGTTCTGCTCAACTCTACTGAAACTAGAGATCTGGTTTGCTGATTTCATTTAAAGTCTAATGTCTTTTTTTTTCAGGTCAAAGAACATTCGTTTCACTCTTTATGTGAATAGTTTTTAGGGCTGCATACTACTAATCACAGAACCGGCTTTACTGACGAGATGCGCATGATAAACGCATTCGATTTATCGTGCAACCCTAATAGTTTTGAAATTCGCTTTTCTTTTTGATTTAGTCAGTAGAGCTTTAGCTTAATTTAGCTTATTTTGTTCACACTCTCTTTTCAAATGAGGTGAATTTAAATAGAGTGACATAGTTTTTTCTCTGTTATTTTTATCTTCCAGCAACTTGCAAGAATCCGAAAGTAGAAACCAGGAGCTGCTTGCAGAAATTGAGAGGCTGAGGAAAGAGACAGAAGAGCTGAGACTGAGGAGAGGTGGCAATCAGTGTTATTTAGTTTTTTTTAAATATATTTTGTAACATTTATTAATATTTTGTATATTATTTTATATTATTTATTTTTATACGATCAGTTATTTATTTTTTTGTTTTACTATTTTTTACATTTTTATTTTATATATAGCTTTAATTCATTTTTATTTCCATTTAATTTGAGTAAATTTAGTACTTACTTTTCATCTTAATGTTAATATTTTATTTTATATCACGTTTGTTTCAATGTACAAAAACAATAACAAGAACAATAACATCAAATATCCAACCTACTAAGCATTGCTTTTTTTTTTTGCAATCCTGGCTCTGTTACAGTCTAATTTGATGAGATTTAAAAAATTGTGTTTTAATAAGATTCTGTCATTTTTAGGTGTGAAGCATCAGGATTCCCAGAATTCTTTCTTGGCATTCCTCAATGCGCCCACTTCTGCTCTGGATCAGTTTGATGTAAGTGTGTTGTTCATGAGAACATCTGCATAGAAGTTCACTCTGGTTTCCAAAGAAATATTTTTTCATCATTCTTATTTACTTTTTTTTTTGGGCTTGTTTTCTGTATTATTCTGATACATCCTGATCTGTTTTATTAGTTTTATTATTCTGTTTTTTCTCCTGTCATAATGTGTTTGGTTATTGTTTTGTTTTTTCATTCTGTTGTCCATCAGGACTCATTTTCTTCCTCTTCGTCTTCTTTAGTTGAATTTTGGGAAGATGTAAGTTCTTCTTCAGCTATGTTATAGTGGAATGTCTTTTTGCATCACTCATTTTACACATTTAAAAGTGTCCAGTTATGACACTCCCAAAGGAATAATACCAGAATACCAAAGGAAACTCAACTCACAATTGATTCTAATACAGTCTGATATTAGCATGTTGCTAAGCAAATAGCACAACATTCAAATAAGTATAAAAATATATAGCACAGACAAATAAAGGGTAACAAAGGACATTTTTCACTACACTAATCCGTTCTATTCATACTTTTCTGTATTGAATTCAATATTGAATTGGTTTTACATTCTACCAGCGATATAGTTCATGGTTATATTTTACTTATCTGATCCTACATCCACTCCAGTGTCTTGTGGTAGTGACTCCTTGGAGTTCTTTGATGTGAAGTGAATCCTTTGTGCATGTAAACTATGCCCAGAAATCCAACCACAGATTAGATGTGTTCTTACACGCCCTCATTCCCTTCCCTCTTTTCTCCAACATGATCGTATCTAGCTGACAATTGTACATGAAGTTTGACTCTCCTCTCATCTTTTTTCTCTCTCTTCATATGAAGCGGTCACCCTCTTTTGGTCCCGGAAGCAAAACCAGACGTGTAAGACCCGCTTTTGTCCTGTGTCACAGTAAAATCCCCCCACCGTCATATTTTTTCCTGTGGTTGTGACGGCCTGTTTTGCAAATTGCATGGGTGGCAGCTCTGATTGTGGTGATATCTGTATTGCATGAGACCTTCATTGCTGAAATGCATCTGAAATGTATTTGGGAACCTTTCTTTCATCTTTTGAAAAGCATATGAACCATATATGTGAGAAACTGGGTTATTGACTGGGTTAGTTAATTAAACTTGGTGGTTTATTTTCCATACCATGTGCTTTTATGGTACATTTTAAAAGCCCATTTAAATGGAAAGATATATAATTCATTTGCTTGCCTTAATATTTGGATCTAATTTTAACTTTTGCTCTTGTATAAAGGTTAAAAAGACAAAAATAAGTTGTATAAAAGTTGTTTGCTTTAAATGAACAGTTTCTCATCATTTACTGACCCTTATGTCGATCCAAACCTAAATGTCTTGTTTTCCCGCATGGTGCACAGAATAAGTTAGGAAGAATTTGAGCTCTCTTCTTTTTCAGAAGAAATCCAGACGGTCAAAATCCAGAAAAAGTAATGTTTCAGAAAGTTTCATAGACATTTATTATGGTGCAATAGATTTCTATTTGTTCTTTGGAACTTTCAGTTCATGAAAGAATGCTGAAAAAAATGATCATGGCTTCCACAAAAATATTAAGCAGCAACAGTTTTCAACAAAATAATGAGAAATGTTTCTTGAGCAGCAAATCAGCATATTAGAATGATTTCTGAAGGATCATGTAACACTGAGGACTGGAGTAATGGCTGCTGAATATTCAGTTTTGCCATCACAGGAATAAATTACATTTTAAAATATATTAATATATATATATTAAATCATTAAAAAAATCTTACCGACCCCAAATGTTTGAACAGTAGTGTAGTTATTTGTTGAAAAGTTATACAGAAGTCATACAGGTATGGAAAGACATGACGGTGAGCGAATGATGACTGAATTTTCATTTTTAAGTAAACTAATCCTTTACAGATCACTTTAATGTAAGACCCTCATAAATTGTGGATATGCGTCCCTTTATTGTTTTTCATGTAGTTCCAAGTTGTGTTTTTTTTCTGCCTTTCATTTAATCTTGCATGTGTAGTTGGTGTGTTGTCTCTGTGTAGTGGGTGTATTGTGCCTTTACTCATTGGCTTGGTGCCTGGGTGCACATGCTTTGTTCTGCTTAGAGGGTGTAATTCCAGTAAAAATATTATTGTCATGATAAGCTTTATGGTCTTGATATATTGCTGTGAGTGCGTTTCGCTCTGGATGGAGGCATATTCTTCTGGTATCACAGTCACATGTGCCGCATGACACATTTAAAAAAAATAATTACCATCTTTTTGTTTCTTAGCTTGACTCGGCAGATTTCACTCCCTCCAACACTCCGTCACGAGATGAAGACTCAAGATCCCGTCGTATATCACGCTCCCGCTCCCCGTCAACTGCCAGTGACATGGAGCCTATTGAGGTATCCTTTGGACTCTTAAAGGATTAGTCCACCTAGAAATGAAAATACTGTTACTATTTAATCACCCGCCTATTATTTTGATCTCATATGCTGTTATTTTTTTCTATGAAGCACAAAAGCAGATGTACTGGCCACTCTTTTCCATATAATTAAAGTGATCCAGCCTGGGTCTAGCATTTCAGATTTTTTGTTTTTGTGTTTCACATAAGAAAGAAAACCAGGTTTGAAATGATGACAGAATTTTAATTTGGAGTTAGTTATTCCTTTAATTCTTACCAAGAGTTAAATAAAATGTAATAAAATGTACTCATGTGTTTATGTGTCCTCCTCCTAGTTGATTGACCACACGTCACGTAGTCTACAGACTCCAACAGGCAGATCAGGCTACGGGAGCTTGGGACACTCATCATCTAAGGTAATTATTTACATCAGAACAGTAGGAATGTTTCAATCTGTATAGATTACACTACCATTCAAATATTTGGGTCCGTAAGATTTTAAAATGTTTTTGAATGAATTCTCTTATGCTCACCCAGGCTGCATTTAGTTAATAAAAATACAGTAAAACAATAATATTGTGACAAATTTTAAATAACTGTTTTGTGTAAATGTTTAAAATGTAATTTATTTCTGTGATAGCAAAGCTGAATTTTCAGTAGTCATTACTCCAGTCTTAAGTGTCACATGATCCTTCAGAAATCATTCTACTATGCTGAAGAAATAGAAATATTTCTTATTATTACATTTTTAGGATTCTTTTATTAATAAACAGCATTTATTTGCAACATAAATAATTTGTAACATTATAGCTTTCTATATATGCATTTTATGCAGATTATTTGCTTCCTTGCTGAATAAAATGAAGACATTTTTTTTACTGACCTCAAACTTTTGAACTGTAGTGTATTGCTGTACCGTGCTGCACATTTCTATATATTTATGCTGCAGAACTGCTTTAGGAATTAATTTAAGTAGATGATCCAAAAATAGGCATTACCATGTGGTTGTTTTCTTTACTAATCTTTTTTTTTTTTTTACGAATTTCCATTAAAAATAAATATTGTGCTATAATATTGTACTGTGCTGTAGGAATTTTGTCCAGTACTCTTATTGTCCAGCATTTGTCTTAATGCTGTGATGTTTCTGTTGGAACATCTATGGTTGTGTTTAATTACGTTGCTGATGTTCTCTGCTCCACAGCCCAAGGCGCACCAGTTTAGTGTGAAGACCTTCACCGTTCCCACCAAATGCAACCAGTGCACCTCTCTGATGGTGGGACTTATCCGTCAGGGCTGCACCTGTGAAGGTGAGACAACAGAAGAGAAAGAAATCTGGGTGTTTAAAGTGTTTGAGACAACAGTGAATATGATATGTTTTTAGTTTTCGAGATGATCAAACCCGTATGACTTTATTTCATCTTAGGAACACACAAGGACAACCAGCATAAATCTTTAATATTTTCTTTATCGTGTTCCACAGAAGAAATAAAGTCATGCGGGTTTGGAACAAAATAAGGGCGAACCTTTGAGGTTTATTCAATGTTCTCCAATCCAAGGATGCCTTATTGGTAGAATACTCCGTAATACTCAATGCCATTTTCCTCCATCTCGCCTTACAGTCTGCAACTTCTCCTGTCACGTCACCTGTGCTGATAAAGCACCCTCTGTGTGCCCCATTGCACCAGACCAAACCAAGGGCAAATTGGGAATCGACACTCAGAGAGGCATAGGGACTGCATATGAGGGCCATCTTAGGGTAAGATTTGCCAAATATGTTCTGCTCTTCATATTTTGTTCACTATTGGCCAGTCTGTCTTTTTTATGGTCTTCAGAAATTACCACATACTATGTCTTTTCCACTTTTTTTGGCTCAAAACTTAGAGTTTTTGATGTTCGCTGTCTTGTAATGGAGCTTTGACTGTCTTGTCTAGATACCAAAGCCCACAGGGGTGAAAAAGGGTTGGCAGAGGGTCTGGGCAGTGGTATGTGACTTCAAACTTTTCCTGTATGAGCTTGGAGAAGGGAAGGGTGCCCAGCCTGGTGTCATAGTTAACCAGGTTATTGACATGAGGTGAGGGAGATCTTCATTCAAAAGTGATGCTCAAATATTTAAGTCAAATATTTTATATATCGTGCTTGACTCTCTTTTATCCTGAGCAGGGATGAAGAGTTTTCCGCCAGCTTTGTTCTGGAGTCTGATGTCATCCATGCTAACAAGAGGGATATCCCCTGTATTTTTAGGGTAAGAACATACAGGCAATTTGTAATTTCATACTGTAGAGTTTCTCTTTTTCCATGTCATAATTTTGATATTTTTCTGTGGCAATTTATTTATATTTATTATCATTTTGAAGACTCTCAAAAAATTATTTTGCTTAGTATTTTATAAAATAAAATGTCCAGGATTGTGTGATGAATAAAAAGTTTAAAAGAACAGCATTTATTTGACATATTATTATTATTATTATTATTATTTTATATTTTTTTAAATCTTACTGCCCCCCAACTTTTGAAAGGTAGTGTTTACCTTGAAAAATTTCATTTTAATTTTTTTAACTTGGAATTTGTTAGCAAGTATTGTATAGGGGGTGACTGCTATGAATAACAATATTGTAAAAAGTGCTTATGTATTTATGTATTAAGTATTTATTTAGAATATTATTGTAATATAATTATGATATATTATTGTTGTTGTTATTGCCAAAATCAGATCTCTTAGACTTTGATCTGTTCTGTTATGAACAACCATTTTTGGCCATTTGTCTTCATTCCATTGTTAATGTAATATTTGCATTGTGCCTTCGTAGAATAGGAATAGTAATTTATTTCTGTCCTAAATTCTTCACTTTCATCATTCATCAAGCATAATTTTTCAGGCGAATCAGGCGAATATGTGATAATCGTGACTGAACTAACTATATAGCCTTAGGCAGTCATTAGTCATTTCATATCAAGACATTTTTGAATTGCTTTTCATACATTGTTCTTCGTTCATTCCACAGGTAACAGCATCTCAGCTGTCCACCTCCTCTAGTCAGAAGACATGCATCCTGATCCTGGCTGACAGTGAGCAAGAGAGGACAAAGTGGGTGTCCGCACTGAACGAACTGCACCGCATTCTGAGGAAAAACAAGCTGAAGGAGCGTTTCGTGTATGTGCCTAAAGATGCGTATGACAGCACCCTTCCTCTCATCAAAACCACCCAGACTGCTGCTATTATAGGTACAGAGACACACACAAAAAAGAAAGAGCAAATACTGATAACATTGCATAGTGTTTAATCCAAAATGCTTGATTGTCACAATTTCTGTTTAGACCATGAACGGGTTGCTTTGGGGAATGAGGAAGGCCTGTTTGTAATCCACGTCACCAAAGACGGTAAAACTTCCTTCATTAATCCTCCTATTTCTTCATTGCCCAATAAACTTAAGGTTTGTGGCTTATTGGTCAAAAATCTAGACTGGTAACTTAAAGTTTATTGGTTTAAACCTTGGAAAGTCTGATGTATGAGCTACCAGGTGGCTTCAGGGTAGTTAAGGTAAAATTTTTGTAATTCCCAAATGTTAAAAACACTGACATGCTCTCCATCATTTTGACAGAAAAAAATGGGTCTATTGCATTGGAATGCCAGACATTTATTTACGGTAATTTTCGGGAAAATGAAAACAACAACAGATAAAAATAGAGCATGATGGAAAATATAGAACCCAGCCTGTCAGAGTGACAGATAATGGTTATGTTTTAGTTCAACCTCTGTGTGTAAATTACTTTTCTTTGCATAAAAGCAGATAAATCAATGTTTGTTTTTTTTTGTTTATCAGAGGAGACATATTACAAATCTATTAAATGTTGTAAACTCCCAAAATGTTTATGATTTGTAAGATGCTTTAAAAAGTGCACCATTGCTGAACCACATGCCCATTAAAACTGAAATACCTGATGCAAGACCAACATTCATTGAACATTTTTGTCCTTTCTGCTAGAAATTGTTCGTGTGGGTGACATTAAGAAGGTGCATCACATAGAACTGATGCCCACAGAGCATCTAATGGCCGTCATCTCGGGCAGGAACCGACAAGTGTGTCTGGTCCCCATGGCTGGGTTCGATGGGAGGGAGATTGACAAGAACAAAGTGGCAGATACTAAAAACTGCCAGGCACTGGTGTCTGGTGTGGTGCGCAATAACACCTGCTTCTGCCTTGCAATTAAACGGCAGATCTCCTGCTATAAAATTAACAAGAGCAAGTCTCGCTACTGCCATCTGGTGGACATACAAGTACAGTATTCAAAACCTCTTGTTATTTTTTTCAAATCAAGTAAATGCAGTCTAAATGTAATTAGTGTCCATACTCAGTCGATCACAAAGATCATCTTTGCTAGCACACACAGCAACATCAACAGCCCTTTCTATATCTCAGGTTCCAGGAACTGTCCAGTGGATGGCGTTCTTTGGCCAACAATTATGTGTTGGATACCAAGCGTGCTTTATGCGCTACAGTTTGCATGGAGATACCCCTCCGGTCAGCATGCTCCACCCAGATGACCCAACATTGGCGTTTATTAAGGCAGAGAACTTGGATGCCCTTTGTGCAGTGGAAATCTCCAATAAAGAACTGCTGCTCTGCTTCAGCAAAATTGCAGTGTATGTGGACACACATGGCAGACGCTCGCGCCAGCAGGAGCTAATGTGGCCCGCGACGCCCACCGCCTGCTGTGAGTAGAGAGAAGTTAATCATCAATTTACACTTAATGGCTAAAGACAAGGGTCAGGGTGTGGCTGTGAAAAAAGTTTTGTTATTTTGACCTTGTGGATGTTTTATATCTCGCAGGCTACAACGCCCCCTACCTATCAGTCTACAGTGAAAACGCAGTGGATGTGTTTGAGGTGAACACTATGGAATGGATACAGACTATTCCTCTCAAAAAGGTTTGCTTATTTCAGTTTCAGAAGTCTTAAAAAAATTAAATTATAATAAATAAATAACTTTTGCACACCCACACACAATTGATAAATGATCAATAAATGAATCATCTTATAAATGAATCAATAAACTTTCACTGGCTCTGTGCAGGTCCGACCGTTGAACATGGATGGCTCTTTGAATCTCTTGGGCCTAGAGACGGTCAGACTCATCTACTTTAGAAACAAGACTGCAGGTAACGGCACTGTCTTCATTGTAATTCATTGAAATGCAATGATCATAGCTCAAGTTGCTTAAGTTTTTTGTTTAGTAGTGCTGTTTGAAATAATGAATAATTCAGATTTGAATAATATGTCTGATAATGCATCATGTGTGTGTTTAGAGGGAGACGAACTGGTGGTGCCTGAGGTGTGTGATAACAGCAGGAAGCAGATGGTACGCAGCATGAGCAACAAGAGACGATTCTCATTCCGTATTCCTGAGGAGGAGAGACTGCAGCAGAGGAGGTGAATGTCACACACACACACACACACACACACACACGCACGCATACACACATTTGTGTACTACCATGCTAAAAAGACAAGCTGAGCATTTTCAAAGCATACTTTGTTAGGTCTGGATTCAATATGCATTTTTTAAAACTTCTGAAATATCATTATAAGGTTATTATATTAACTTACTGGTGTGTGTGATTGCAGAGACATGTTGAAAGATCCAGAGAAAAGGAACAAGTTGATCTCCAATCCTATGAATTTTAACCACGTTGCCCATATGGGTCCTGGAGATGGAATGCAGATCCTCAGAGATCTGCCAATGGTGAGATGCTCATCTTTAAAAGAATATTCTGTGTTCAGTACACATTAAGTTCAGTCGATAGCATTTGTGGCAAAATGTGGATTATTATTTCACTTGTGTTAATAGTATAACCACAAGACATAAACAATATGCACGTTAACATGATTTTAGTGTGCAAAAAATAGCTCACTAACCTTTTCAATGGAAAGTTACTTTTAATATGTAACTATTAATACACAAGTTTTAATAGAATAATTAATAGAAAGTGTACTTAGAAAAAGTGTAAAAAAAAAAAGTGTCTTTAGCTTTTAAATCCTCCAAAAATGGTCCCCTTCACTTATATTGTAAGTGCCTCACTGTAACCTTGATTTATTTTTATTTTTTTCAAAGAAAAGGAGGAAATTGAGTATTTTTTTCTTGATGGTACATTATGCTACACAAATGCTGTCGATTGAGCTTAACTTTTGTTGAACTCAGAATATCCCTTTAATGCTTTACAACCTCATTTTGATTTGTATTTTTCTGGTTATTTATCAAGTCACTCCACTTTTGGTTTGTGCACTACCATTCAAAAGTTTGGGATCAGTCTTTTTTTTTTTTTTTAAATAACTACTTTTACTTAAAGCAAAGATGAATTTAATTGATCAAATGTGACATTAAAGACAATTATATGTAAGATTTCTATTAAAAAAAAGGCTTTTCTTTTGAATTTTCTGTTCATCAAACAAATCTGGAAAAAATTTCAGTTCGCACAAAAATATTAAGCAGCTTTTAGCAAGAAATGTTTCTTGAGAACCAAATCAGCATATTAGAACAGATTTCTGAAGGATCATGTGACACTGAAGACTGGAGTAATGATGCTGAAAATTCAGCTTTGGCCTCAAATGAAAATCTATTACAATAGAAAACAAGTTAAATTGTAATTATATTTCTCAGTATTACTGTTCTACTGTGTTTTTAATTAGACTTTGAAGAACTTTAAAAAATCTGACTGACCCAAACTTGTGAACGGAAGTGTATGTCACCAAACAACTCTCCAGTCTCAACATTCATGGGTGTGTCAAAGGTCATTTATGCATCCTGTATTGATATATATATATGTTGATAGCAACATGACGTCTTAAAGATCACTATATGGAATCCCATTGTTCGTTTTCATCAAGTCATGTTTGTCCCATTCATTGCATGTTTTTGTGTCCCTGCTCTGTGTGTGTGTGTGGTGTGTCTCTGTAACCTGTAGAATGTGCGTGCTCAGGACAATCGAGCCGTGTTCAGCGGTTCCGTCAGCATCCCCTCAATCACCAAAAACCGCGCCGAACCTGGGCGATCCATGAGCGCAAGCAGTGGCCTAGGAATGCGTACGTACACACAAGTGTCTGCTCTTATATTTATCATATTCCGTGGATTTCATTCCCAACTATTTTCTTTCTTCTCTCTATCAGGGTCCTCCTCTCAGAACGGCAGCGCTCTGAGGAGGGAGTTATCGAGCAGCAGCTACAGTTCTAAACGCCAGGCCATGACGTCACCCTCTGAGAGCTCGCTGTCGTCAGGAGGGGGGATGGACGTGGGCGAAGCGCCGCTCTCTCAGTTTGATAGAGAGGTGAGTCGTGATGAAGGAGGAATCGGGACAGTGGTATGTTCATTACCTCATTACATCGAAGCCAAATTCGCACTATGCAGGGACGTCAAGGCACATGACCAGCAATCCATGGTATCCATGATGATTAAATTTGAGCCTTATGCTGTCTTCGTGTGCTAAAAGAATTACTGTAAATATGAGATTCCTAGTTGGAAACTGGATATGAATAGCCTCTCAATGTGTATTCTTATCTGTGTTATTTAAAAAAAAAAAAATAATAATAATAATAATTTATTCACACTCATGTCGTTCTAAAACCCCTATGATTCTTCTGCACACCTCCTGACTTATAAAAAACAGCTTGCTCCATCCCTTCCCATTAGGCCTGTAAAGGTGGAACACCTATAATGTAATTTGCCCCAAAGCGCTTGAATGCAAGTGAGCCTTAGCCCTTTGTTCCCCCCACCTAGCTTTGTCAATGCTTACGCCACTTTATGCCTGCCACCCCATTCCACTACATCCAACAGAATCCCTAGCAATCCACCCACCCGTGCCCTTATCTCACCCGCCATCTCCCCATACCGCTGCGCTTTGTGCCTCCCGGGCGCTTCATTCTCCTTCAGCAAGTTTGGAAGCCATTCTGGCACTCAGTCTGCCCTTTCCTTCTCAGTGGCAGGCAGTATCGCCCTCGGAGAAGACCCCTGATCTGAAAAGGGCTTTAAGGAACCTGCTTAGTAAGATGAAGGTAAACGTCACACATTTGCAGTGAAACATACACACCCACACACACGACTGCTGTCATCGGCACACTCAGGCAGCCCTGCAGAGCGCTTCTCGAGTATCCACTGCCCATTTTTGAAGCTCACAACCCACAAGCGATTGTGGTGAAGCAGAGAGCTTCGGTTGGGAATGGCAAGCATCCATCCGCATGTCTCGCTTTCATACCGCTCCTGCTGGCCACCCCCTGTGTCCACTAGAGAAAACAAGGCTCTTTATGTGACGAAAAGAGAGTTGGACTAGAAAAATACTCTGTGCAAGTACACAAATGCTTGGTTTGTACTCAAGGGGGCGCTAGAGTAAAATGAATGTGCCGAATGTGTAGTTTTTTTCAGGTAATTACTGATAACTTTGTGGAAGACTACACTGATGTGCTGTAGCGCCCCATGTGGCAAAGTTTAGAATGCAACACATGCGTTTTGTTACAAGCTTGTTTAGCTTGAAGCATTTGCATTCACATACTTGTAAAGAGTGTTATTCTAACCTTAAAATTTAGAATCAGCTTTGCTTTGAAGCGACTCTATTGAGTTGATAGCTGCGAACCACTGGCTATGAGTATGAGAACTTGTCTTTATGTGTTGTACGTTGATGTAACTCATTTTATTTACTTTGTAGAGCTTTGTTTTTAAAAATGCTGCTGGATTAAAGGACCTCCACCAGTTTTATGCTTTGTAGACATGGCAGAGCCCAATCAGGGAGACCAATGCAATATTCTATAATGTAAACATTCAAAAAATGCTAAATTTGTGTAGTTTAGCATATATACAATTTTGCACAAGTTAAATGGATAGTTCACCTAAAACTGAATATTCTGCCATCATTTACTCATGTCGTTCCAAACCTGTGTTTCTTTCTTTTGCAGAGCACAAAAGAGGTTTTGAAGAATGTTTTAACTTTGTTCATCAAATAAAAAAAAAAACATTTTCCAAAAAGACATTTCCCAAAATACCTTCTTTTGTGTTCCACAGAAGAAAGTTAGTCTTACAGGTTTGGAATGACATGAAGGTGAGTAAATTATGAAAGAATTTTAATATTTGGGTGAACTGTCCTGATTAATATTCTCTTAAGATCGGCATGTGAAACAGCGACTTTTCTGAACCAAGTATGCCATGTTTACAAGCCAACTTTTGTTATAAAGTTGCTAAAAGTTAGATCCCATTTAATTGGGTTTTATTTGCGCCCTTTTTTGCACAGTATTTGGTATCATTGCATGTGTCCACTATAGTACAAAAGTTTGGGGTCATTAATTTTTTTTTTTTTTACTGCAAAGATGTATTAATTTGATTAAAAGTGACAGTAAAGACTTTTATGTTGTTATAAAAAAAATCTACTTCAAATCAATGCTGTTCTTTTGAACTTTCTATACATCAAAGAATCCTGAAAAAAAATGTTATCATGATTTCTACAAAAAATATTAAGAAAATATAATTTTCCGTTTTCAACATTGATAAAAATAAATGTTCCTGGGGTACCAAAACGGCATATTAAAATGATTTCTGAAGGATCATGTGACACTGAAGACTGGAGTAATGGCTGCTTTTTTAACTGCAAAGATGTATTAATTTGATTAAAAGTGACAGTAAAGACTTTTATGTTGTTATAAAAAAAATCTACTTCAAATCAATGCTGTTCTTTTGAACTTTCTATACATCAAAGAATCCTGAAAAAATTTTTTATCATGATTTCTACAAAAAATATTAAGAAAATATAATTTTCCGTTTTCAACATTGATAAAAATAAATGTTCCTGGGGTACCAAAACGGCATATTAAAATGATTTCTGAAGGATCATGTGACACTGAAGACTGGAGTAATGGCTGCTGAAAATTCATTTTTGCCATCATAAATTATTATTATTCAAACAGATTACAATTAATGTGTAATAATATTTTGTAATATTACAGTTTGAACTATGTTTGATCAAATAAGTGCAGCCTTGGTGAGCAGAAGAGACTTTCAAAAACATAAAAAATTTTACTGACCCCAAACTTGTGAATGATAGTGTAATTAAAGTCTTCATATGTCCATCGTCACTTGTCTTTTTCATGTGTGTATTTAAAGGAAAACTTTAGGGCTAGATGATTATACTACTTTCTATGATCCATAAATTCTGTTGGTAGCATCTCTGTTGTTACAATTATTTATTTATTTATTTTTTCAGGACTCCGATTCACCCCGGCACTCCACTGCCTCCAACAGCTCCACCTTCAGCAGCCCGCCGAGCCCCGCCTCCCCGCACAAGACAAAGTCCCTCTCACTGGAGAGCACAGACCGCACAGGGTGGGACACATGATGGACTCAACAATGAACCAATCACAACAAACTTTGAGTGTGCCAGTCACAGTGCTCCGTCCCCTCCCATACAGTCACACCCAGGCACTACAGGCCCCTCCCACTTCATTTGCATAAAGCATCACCACTGGGGAACGTACAAAGGAGAAACCACACCAACACAAGAGTTTGTATGTTTGAGCGACCAGGACACGCATGACTACGACCCCGCAAAAGCTGATTGGAGGAAAAAGTGGAAGTTAGGTTCTGGGTTTTAATGTGACTGGTGTTTGTACATAGACTGGGTTAGGGTTGAACTTTTATTTATTTATCATTCAGCCATTTCAAGGTGGAAAATACTGTCACGTCCCTCACACTCGTTCTTCAGCTGTGGACCATATGGGAATGATGATTCCATTATAGAATCCCACTAATTTACCTGGAGGAAAAAATGCAATGATGTATATTTTTTATTTGCTTTTAAAAGTGGTGTGTGCTGTGATTCGTTTGTTACTTCGGCTAAATGGATGAGAGACCGCAGATATCAGGCGACCTCATCTATCGCTTCCTGTCCTAGATTTGTAGGAATATATAGAGGCTTTCTGACACAATGACGTCTTGGAATCTGTTACCGTCATCATCGCCAATCTCCACGTAATCCAAACCTTCCATGAACCAACATGACCTGTGAAAACACATCACAGTAATGTACATAGCTTAAAAGTATAGTATAATATATAATAAGGAAATATTGAAGAGATAACTATGTGGAAAAAAAATCTCATTGCTTTTATTTAAAAAAAAATATTTTAATATACTCGCACTAAGACCATTTAAAAAGCTTCAGTTGTGTCAGTTCCTTTAGACTTTTATTTTTGCTTTATGAGACAATACTGCCTTGTGTATTTTTATTTCTTTGTTGTCTTTTTTTTTTTTTTTTTAAGATTTTTGTGAGACACTACAAATGTGCTTTAACTATAAAATCTGCATCATCTCAGTTGTGCTTTATCAGATGACAATACATGCATTGACCGAAACTGTACAAATATCAGCAAGGTTGCATACAAATATCATATTTCTGCAAACTAGAACTATTAAGTCCAAATTGTTGAACTGGTCCAACATGTAATCTGAGATTTGCAGACAGACAAAAGGTATGTCGTTTTGTTCCTGAATGGTTTCGTCTAATGTTACAGAATGGGAAATATTCAACACACTTTGCCTCACCCACAAAGTTTGGCTCTTTCTGTCTTGGAAAAACATATTTTTAGAAAATCTTTTCATTGGATAATTCAGTAATTTTATCCAGTTAAGTGTTAAAACATTCACACCACTATTAAAGGTGGGGTAAGTGATTTCTGGTAGCCAATGTTGATATTTCAGTTCTCTTTATGACGTATTGACACAAATTTCAAATGATTTTCAACGGTCGCTTTGTCGCGTCCAGTGTACTAGACAGACTTTAGTTGTTGCGGCGCAGACACGGTGTTACTCACCTATCCAGAAGAAACAAAGCAACCTCGGCATCCGATCGCAGGCCTTCCGCTCCTTGAGTTCTCTCCAGCGCTGGAAAGCTGATCCGATATTTACACGGGTCCTACTTCTTGCCTTATCGTAAGCCTTCTTTTGTTCCGCAGACGTTTTCCTCTTTTGTTTTTTATCCGCCATCTCTATCTTTCTGTCGCTAGGCTCGGATAATGTCCGTCCTGTGCACTGAGCGCTCTCTCCTCCGCATCATGAATAGACACGCCCCTTACTGCTGATTGGCTACAAGTTTGTTTTGGTACTCGGCCGGACTCAGTTTTCTAAAGCGTTTTGAAAAAATGCATACCCCACCTTTAAATGTAAGGTTAAACTTTACCATTAAAATTTAGTACAAGAATCTGCTCCCACAATGCCAGCATGTATTTGTCATTATGCAGTTGTCAAATTGCGTTTGTTATGGTTTCGAGGGCATTTAGTCCATCTGAGGAAAAAGAAATGTTTAAAACTTCTCAGAAGTCACAGGCTTCACTTTGTTCCTTATTCAGTTTGCAGTTGATTTAATCATGAGTTGCACAAGAAAGCGAGTCGCCCGCCTCATGCAGGCTTCTGTTTGGTCCTCACATCTGCACCAGATTCTGTTCCTTCTGTAAAGTGGGAAGCTCAGTTAATTTGATGAATTCGTTAAAGGTTATACAGAAAATTGGTTCAATTTTGTAGTATCATTCCATCTGTAATAAGTAAAAGCAATGGAAAAAAGACATTTGGACAGAAACCTGCTAGAGACCTCCAGTAAAATGAAAATGTCTCTGCATTTCAGCAACCTCTTGGACATTACGTTTATATGTGCTCATTCTCATCTCAGTTGTTTATTTTTTCAGGATATGCTTTGTAATCATTTGTACAGTTTTGCATGTCATAAATGATAATTCCATGTTTCATGGTTGTTTTCTGTTTCTCACTCACTTGACAAAGGTGGATATCACTTCAAACAATGAGGAATCGTTTTGCACAGATGTATTTAAGCTGGAAGGTCAAAGACTGGATAAAGTGGCCACTATGCATATATGGAGACGTTACTATATTAACCTGATGCTGATGTAATTCAATAAACGGAGGGAAATGACACACACAGATATTAAAGTTTTGAGAGTGATGTTTTATTTTGTACATAAAGCACTCAGGATCTCAGCATGTTAACAAAAAAGCTTTTCACAGTTTTCGGTAAATGTCACGAAAATGACGACTAATTATTATTAGTGCTAAAACTCAACAGAGAAGAGCTTGGTTGTAAAGGATAAGCCAATATCCATTCGAAAAATTCCTACAATATCTATTCTAAAATGTTTTTCGCCTCCAGTTTTATGCTTTTTAAATTCAGCTCTTAATGCTTTTCAAAGGGATATTTGACAAAAATGTTCTCACCCTCACCTTCAGGACATTGGCACTGGAAATGGCTGACACTTAGCACTGGAAATGATTATTGACTGAATAATGACTTAAATGTTTTTTTCTTTTCCCCCCACAAATATCAGAAGACTTGCAATGTAATGCACATGAGTCATTTATGTTTTTATGGTGCTTTTTTGTCATTTTTGTAGCTTTACAGCCCTTGGTAACTATTCACTATCATTGTATGGAAAGGAGAAGCTTGTACATTCTGCTAAACTTCTCCTTTTGTCTTCCACAGGAAAAAAAGAAAATATGTTTGAAATGTCACAATGGTGAGAAAAAAGTTTGGGTGAACCGTCCATTTAAATTTAACCCAAATGTGCAGAGATGTCAGTATTTATCACTAGTTCTGTTCTACAAAATGGTCAAAAGTGCAATAAACAATGGAAAGAAACATTCAAAACCACATCTGTAGTGGAACAACTCAGAAAGCTTAAATCATGTGAGTATAAAACAGCAAGTGCTTCAACACATCACAGAATGATAACGTATCAAAAGCCCTTACGTTTGACCCTGTTGAAGTAGGAACCCTGAATTCAAGAAGTCCAGTTTGTTCATGTAGCTCAACTAGTAGCACAAGATGCTAACATCTGCAAGGTTGTGGGTTCAATTCCCAGGGAACACACATGGCACACTGTGTAGTTTGAACGCTCATATTTGTGCTATTCATCATGAGGAGTTTGTGCCAAGAGTCCATGTTCTCTTTACTTGTTTGGTCTCTATTTGCTGCCATGTTAAAGTTCACGCCTTGGTCGCATCCTCCCCTACAACGCGGTGAATGCCATTGCCAGGGCTGCTTTGGATGGCCTGTGCTGTGATGGTGAGGTCTCGCATGCTGCTGTGCCGTGATTGGCTCTCCAGGCGCTGCAGACTGCCGTGCCGTGAATGGCTGTTGAGACGGTTGACGCCGCAGTTCTGGAGCGGATCATTAAGGCGCAGGGTGCTCCCGTGAGGGAGACGTTCCTCGACGCCGCGATAACTGCAAGCTGTGTACCTGATGGGATAGAGAATGAAAGAGATTCAGTGATGTTTAGATCTTTGATCAGGGAGGCAGATGTAGGTTAAAGACACAAGAGTTACAAAAACAGTCGGTTATGTCTATGAAGGTAAACAGCTGGGAAATAAATCGCATGCTTATTTTAGATCTGTGGCAGCAGCAATATACAGTAAATAAATCAAAAGTGTGCAGCCAAAGACAGAAAAGTTAGCGTGTTTTGCTCAAACTTTCGCCATGGCATTAGAACTGACACACCGTTGTCGCTTGTGAAATCAAAATGACGGCGCCATGGGAGGAAACTTACAGATTAAGGGGCGGTAATATTATAATGAGATCCCTTTGCCACGTCACCAAGGGAGCGAAATCTGACGCGCTCGTTTTCTCAGATGCTTGCAGAAAAAGGCTTACCAAAACAAAGTTACTGGGTTAATTTTTTTTACGTTTCCTTGGTTGGTAGATGCACCAGGGACCTGATTATAGCACTTAAAACCTGGAAAAGTCAGATTTTCATGATATGTCACCTTTAATCAAAATTGTAACTAATTTTAGTCACCACTTTACAATTGATTTTGCTCGCATTCATTTTTGAATGTAACACTCACTCTCAAAATCAATTTAACAACCGATGCATAGAATCAAGTCCTCGCCCCAGAGTTTTTTCTTTTCCAATAATCTGGAAGCAGTTCCGGGGGAATGACGTATGAGGTCAGCGTTGCGCATGATCTCTCCCCTGCGCTTCCTCATTCGTCACTTCTGAGCGGCGCATGCGCAAAGTCGACCTCCATACGTCATCCGCCTGGAACTGCTTCCAGTGTACAACAGTGAGCGCAAGCTACATTAAAGTGATTATTACGTTTTGAATATGGATATTTTTCTTACAAAAACGCATAGATTCGCTACAGAAGGCCTTTGTTCACCACCCGGAGCCGTGTGAGATACTTTTTTTTTTATGGATGGGCGCATTTCAATTAAGTGCTTTTGGACTGATGCATGCAACACCCGCTGAGTGCCATGAAACAGCTTGAAAGATCAAAGACAATTTCTAATATAACTCCGACTGGATTCGTCTGAAAGA